GAGTCTATTTAATACTTTAATAGTGATTATTATTGTATAAAATTGATAACAGCCCCAAATATATATATATATATATATAGAGTGTGTTTATCTCTTACATATTGTTTGGTTTATCCCTATTCAAAAATCCCAAAACATTTTCTCTGTTTTCCCTCTGGTCCTGATTCTGAACTTCTGAATAATCGATTATCCTTAACTGATAATCGACTATTGTAGTCTGCAGATTCTTCTCCAAAGTACAAAACTTCTCATAATCGATTTTCAATAATTTGATAATCGATTATCATCATCCTCAGGAAGTATCCAGTTCCGCGTAAATCCTTGTAAATCGATTGTCTTGTATAGTCAATCGACTTTTGGGTTCCTCAGAACATTACCAGTTCTGTATCAGATCCTATTAATCGATTTACTGAGCTTGTTAATCGATTATCTCCCACTTCCAAATCCTGAGTGAATCATTCCCTGTGTTTGAGTCAATCGACTTTTGGGTTCCTCAGAAAATTACCAGTTCTGTGGCTTTCCCTTGGATGGCCTTCTAACTGAGTCAGCTTTCTTGAAGAACTTCTTGAACTTCCAGAATTGTTTGACCATCATGGCAAATTCCTCATCATAGTTCTCCATTCTTGAGCTTGACGGCTGGCTGGAGGAAGGTGTGTCACAGTTCCTTGGGCATGTCCCTTCACTCGGTGGGACTCTAGGAGTTGTCATCAATGCCGTGGGGAAGGGAGTGACTTGTTCTTCCTTCTTCTTCATCAGCTCATGCTCATAGGTTCTGAGCTCATCAAGGAGACCTTGGACAGTGTAGTTCTCCAGGTTTCTTCTTTCTTCCATGGCTGTGGCTTTGGTGTACCACTCAGTTGGAAGAGATCTCAGCAACCTTACATTCTTTTCTTTGGGAGAAAGAATGTGGTTAAGTGATGAAAGATCATTTAAGATTTTGTGGAATCTTTCATCCAACATATCAAATGATTCTCCAGGAAGCATTTTGAAGCTTTTGAACTTTTCAAGCAGGACTTCTATCTTCTGCTTTCTCAGGTCCTCCGTTCCCTCACACAGCTTCCCAAGATTCTCCATTTGGATTTTCAAGGGTCCATCCTCAAGCACCATCCACATGCAATCATGTAGGGCGTAAAGGTGTGCTTCCATCATGATCTTCTGTTAGATATCCGGGAGAACGGAGACTTTCCTTAGCCCACAAAAGGAAAGACGGATCAGGGGAATAAATCCAAAGTGTGGTGACGTTATTAGGGTTGAATCCACTCCTTCGCCCTTCCCTAAAGCCCAAACCAACACCAGGGCTGTCCTACACCCCACCTAGGCCGAACCAACACCCCCCATTCCTTCCCTAAACATCCAAAGTTCCTTGTCATTTAATTCCTTTCAAAATAATGTTTTCCTACACTTATTTTTAGCCTATGGCAGAAAATAAGAGTGTGTAAACCAAAACCTTTTGTTTGTTGTTATTTCCCTTTTTCCTTTTTTTTTCTTTTTTGGCCAAACTTAGGGCATCCCATGAACCCCATATCACCCCTAATACACCCCTGGCAGAATAAACCCACCATTACCAGCCAAAACCACTCCTTTATTTCACACAATAAACCCACCATTACCAGCCAAAACCCCTCTCTTATTCCATGTAAGGGACCTGCCCCTGTCCCCCCTTTTGTTCCCCAACAAAGCTGCACATCCCTGGCCCACCACTAACTCAATCAACTCTCTCTTATTCTCTACATAAACACCCAAGAGATACCTCCAAAAGAACAGCCAGCCTTCCCTCTCTTTTACCCCCACTTGGCCGAGAATACATCACCCAAAAAACCAATCAAAGTATGGGTATTATTCACATAAATATTTCCCATGCACTAAAGGCCGAGAAAGGAGTTCCACAACCACACATCATCTCTGAATTTTCTCCCTACCTAGAAGACATGAGAGGCTGATGAATATTTGCTAGGAAGCTTCCTTTATGTCCCATTAACTGTATTGTGTGTTTCCCCCCACTTTCCCCTTCATATATAATTCGGCCTTAGGGCCATGTGTAAGGCAGCTTTTTTTTGATGAATTAAAACATTACTCTTTGAGTATATTTTTAAATAGTGTGATGCTATTTAAGCCAAATTCCTAATTCTATATCTTAAGAGTGGTTATCTTAAGTGTGAGTTTTAGGTTCTAGATATTTAAATAAGTGTGTAATATCTTATTTGAATTCTAGATTCAAACCCCAAGTTAAGATAAGAGTGTGTCATATCTCTTAACACCAACTTGGTTTATCCCCTCCTATTTTATTAAGTGTGAGTTTTAGGTTCTAGATATTTAAATAAGTGTGTAATATCTTATTTGATTTCTAGATTCAAACCCCAAGTTAAGATAAGAGTGTGTCATATCTCTTAACACCAACTTGGTTTATCCCCTCCTATTTTATTCCCCCATTTCGTGCCTCCCCATATTCTCTTCCTAAACCTCTTCTTTTTCTTCTTAAAAAAACACAAAAAGAACTCCCCTTTTGCACCATAATATTTCGGCCACCCCATTTTTCCCTCACCTCCTCATAATTCCTTCTCTAAAATAGCAACGTGATAAGACCCCGGGTCTCGGGTATAACATTTGGTATCAAAGCATTGTGTTTCAACATCCCTAAGGGCCAATTACACTTCCAAATACCTTTCCCTTCACCTTGGTTATTTCGACCAAGACCACTCCAAAAACACCCCTTCAAAACAACCATCCCCCTTATCTCTTTGTTACTGCCATAAAGATCAGCCTCAACACCATCTCTCTTTTCTCTTCCTTCTTTGGTATTTTCGGCCAAAGAGAGCCCTAAAAACCACCCATCATTTCTTACCATTCTAGCTACTGCCCCATTCTCTTCCTCTTCTTTCACACCCTTGAAGATGTCAAACCCCTCTGTAATCATCACCAATGAAGAGCTGTGGGCCTCGAATACAGAACTCAAGACCCAAGTGGAGTACTTGGCTAAGCAGATTGCTCAACTCACCAAATTAAAAATGAATATGATGAATACCCCTGAAGAAAGTGAAGATGAGCAAGAGGAAGAAGCCCAATCAGAAACTCATCCTCGTCCCACAAGGAGAAACAACTAAGAGAAGTCATCTACTGATTTCAAAGTTGAAATCCCAACTTTTGATGGCAAAGATGACCCCGATGATTTCATAGAGTGGTTAGAGACGATTGAACGTGTCTTTGACTATACCGAGGTATCGGAGGATAAGAAGGTCAAGCTTGTGGCCTTAAAACTCAGAGGCTACGCATCTACGTGGTGGACTAACACTACCACCAAGCGCAAAAGAGAAGGCAAGGCTGCTGTTAAAACATGGACCAAGATGAGAGCTTTATTAAAGAAGAAGTTCATTCCTACTCATTATATAAGGGAAAACTTTGCTAGGCTTCAAAACCTACGGCAAGGAAATCAGTCCGTAGAAGAGTACAACCGAGAGTTTGAAGAACTCTTGATGCGATGTGATCTTCAAGAGAATGACTCACAAACCTTTTTGAGATATTTATTTGGTTTAAACACCCAAATAGCCAACACCGTGGAGCTGCAAAACTTTGAAAGCCTTGAAGATTTAACAAAGCTAGCCCTAAAAGTGGAAGCTCAACTCAAGAAAGGCAAGTCCCCCTTGAACCGTCCCCTTCCACCACATCAAGGCCAACCAAATTACACCCCCATTGCTGCCCAAAACCCCACGGTCCCCTCCCCTAAAAATCCCAAAACCATGCACCCTATTTCATCGCCAAGTGCTCCTTCTCCTTCAAAACCTAGTTCATCAAGTAGCCGAGTCCAAAAGTGTTTTCATTGCCAAGGCATTGGTCACTATGCTAGTGATTGTCCAAACAAGAAGATCATGGCTATTGTTGAATGTGAAGAAGAAGAAATGAACCCCTTTTGGGTTCAAGGAGAGCCGAAAGAAGAAGAGGAAATTGTTGGCCCCGACGAAGGTGAACTTTTGGTCATTCAAAAGACCATTAGTCATGCGGCTGCCCGGGATGAGTCTGCACACCGAGAGAGTATTTTTCATACCCGTTGCACCGTTCATAAGAAGGTGTGCTCAATGATCATCGATAGCGGAAGTAGTGCCAATGTTGTTTCCAAAACAGTGGTGGAAAAGCTCAAATTAGAGACGTTACCACATCCGGAGCCTTATGAGATTCAATGGTTGAATCTAGATGAGGGAATACGTGTGAATACACGTAGCTTGGTCTCTTTTAACATGGGTCAGTCCTTTCAAGATGACGTGTGGTGTGACGTAATACCCATGAGAGCTTGTCATATTCTCCTCGGGAGACCATGGTTATTC